TGACAAGTCCTACTCTTGGCAAAACGAAGTGAGTAAGCGCACATTTCTGAGCAACGATGTTTTACTTGTATATCCATGCCTAATTCTATCCGAAATGATATCGTATGTTCAAAAAAAAATATGATTATCATCCTTGGTTTTGCCATAACCTTACTCTGCTCAATATTAATGGCCCGTATGAAGTATAGCGCAAGCACGTCAAGTATGTTGATATCTTAACAAGCCAATCATATACAGTTATTAATTATTGCAGCCTAATGCTCCTTTGAGGGATGAACAGTTCCAGGAAGTTGCAAAGCTGCCGTAATGTTTGCCTAAATACACCCTTTAAGCAAGGAGGTCAGTGAACACAAACTTCGGGACGGAGCGTGCTCTAAACGAGCGCAGCTTTGATTTCTGTACCCTGTCCATCATGTCACCAATACAAATATCCCCACCCAACCAGCCCACTCGATCAAAGGGAATAAAGACCGTTGAAGAAATAGACGCTTAACCTACTACTCCGGCTGCTACCTGGGGGAACCGCCCCCTTTCGAGATCCTTTTACTTTCCTTTTCAAACTCTGTTACCCACTATTTACTGTTATAGGGCAAAAATTTGTTTGGATGAATAAATATTTGATATTAAATACACATTTTTTCACTTTCATCGTGTATCCGACAGTAGGCCCAACTTACACACCAGACTGACGGGGGCGCTCAGTACCCCAAAATGGAATACATAGGTGAACAAGGCAACTTATAGTATGGGTAACCCGACCCCACCTAGCTTTTGCTGGCTCCATCGTCTCACTCATTCTTTCAAATTTCGGTTATGATAACACTTTGGCTTACGGAACCCAGAAACTATTCGCATTTTCGTAGTTAATAGCAGGCCACCTCAAAACAATATTAGAAACTACTGGCTTTAAACATTTTTTTGTTGGGCAATAAATCAGCCACTAGGAGACCATTTGACTGACAAATGTAGGCTAACATTTTAAGGAAAATGACTGTCAAAGGATTGGTTTACTGTCAGATGACATAGATCTTTTTCAATAAATCAGGCAACTACATTGATGGCATTGTTGCACCTAATTTTTACTGTGCAAAGAGGATTTTGAGCTCCCATGTTGGTTTGTGCATTCTTTGTCGCCTGACAAAGGCGAATTAGGCAAGGGCGGTGATTGCGTGACTTGCAAACCAGACCACACGGAGAGAATCAACGCAAGAATGTCACCCTCAGGTTAATCAAGATCCACATTCGAAGCGACAATTATTCAAACCCCGACAATTCTGTCACACATTCTATGCAGAACCCTCTCTCCAGTGGTGTTCTTCTTATTTATTTATCTTCATTCCTCTCTATTTATTCGTTTATTTTCTTCTCATATTTTATTTACCCTATCTTGACATCACTTACGACCACATACCTTCTTAACAATTTAGTCATGGAATGGCTCACAAAGTAAAAACACCGACCTTCCACCTGAATTGGTATTAAATATATGCGAATTCCTCAATGCCTTGGATATGGTATCCCACATTGGAGGCGGATACTTCCCAAACGGTCATTCTCCACTCTCATTGCCAATACATTAACTAATGGACGCGGCTGGACAAGCGTCTCTGCCAGCTACTCTTCCTAAAACCTTCATCAGCTTCCTCTCAAAACGTCCCTGTAGCCATTCGATATCAAATTGCACAACTTACTCTCAAGAATGATTTAACGGCCACCTTGAAATCTCTTGCCCCTCAGATATTAGTTGTGCAGTCTTTCTCAACGCCACGTTTGCTATTTCAAATGAGATGGGATGTCTCGTGAAATTACTTCAGAGCCTTGGTTAGTTTAATAGCTTTCCGCCTGTTGACGTACCAACGAAATGGCGGCTATGAAGTATCAAGCGCCAGCAAAGGAACTTTTGTAAATAGTGCAATTTGCTAAAATGGAGCCATTACGACGTGATCTCCAGAAGAATTGATAGTGGTCGAGATGTCGGCTCTATCATAGCCACGAGATCACCCACAATAACACCAAGGATCATTCAGCAATGTGAAATATGACATGGCTGAGTAGTCGCAGAACAGTGTGTGCGATTTCTTCGATCGTTCCAAGTGCTGGAGGAAAATCAGTTGTTCGCCTGCCTCCAGTATGAGTTAATTTCTATTAAATTCCATTCCGTCTTTAGAATATTTGCCATCATCGAGACCGTAAATCAAGGAATCGACGTCGATTTGCACTGTGGATAGCATGATATCCCTCTTCTCTGCTTTGCTTTTTAGGAAAAGTTGCTACGAGAAGCGATTATCTTACATTAACATATTTGATGCATAAAATAGTACAATCCTTAAAAAACCTCCATTGCATTTCTGATGAGGCTGTCCTAAAACAGGGAGAAATCATGCTGTCAGGGGGGGTTGCACTCCTTTCAAATCACTGCCAGATCGGGTCGGTCCGCGGGTTACCAGAATCCTTTCCCATCAAACTTTGCCGTCCAGTCGCTAGTCTCAGGCGTACTGATAAGCTGCCTCGAGCTATGGCTGCCAACATAAAGATTTATTCGTGCCGCGGCTGACCGAACGACTGTTCCTTCTTCATCATCCCAAATGGCACCCCACCATAAGTGGATTCACCCTCCGTGGACTTCTTTTTGCAAGGGTTCAGTATTTCAGATTCTGGAACAAATATGCAGAATGTTTTACAAATAGTAGGTAGGAATCTTCCTATAACCAACATTTGTTAAATCAGCCTAGGTTTCACTTTAAGACCTGTTAAAACTAATTAGAAAACTTGTGCAAAGCAGAAGAGTGACCACTGGGAGCTCTAAGGACGACACTCAATGTCAAGTCGAATGGAATGCCTGAAACTTGTTACATCCACAAAAACAAACATAAGGCGAATTGATGTTGTTATGATCCAGATTCGAGTGAAGACCCAAGAACTTAAATCTACCATGCTTGGAAGTTGAATTTACTGAAGAGTTTTAACGTAATTTCTGTGATTTGCTAATTTGAACGATCCTTTGGCTGAATGGGGATGTTACGGTACAGTCAAAGTGTTCTGCCTTCATCATCTCATCTATCCAAGTCGTACTTGACAACACTGCAACAATTCATCATGTGTCAAGTTTTTTTTTAGATACACTGCGAAGCAGCAACGTCACAGTTTGGAAGATAACAGTTCTGGTGTGCGTTTACCCAGATGAGCAGTCTAGGTAGTGGTCAGACGCAATGGGTTACTTGGGCTCAAACATCATCAATTCATCCAGAGAATGTCTTGAAGCATCTTTTGCAGTCGATCTAAATCCTCACACTTGTGCTCTAATCTCCAATTACGTGTACAGTGTTCAGAAATACCTGGTGACAGATGGAATCGCGACTATTATGGAGCGTTCGCAGGATCGGATGTGGACATCTTTACGTAGAGCAATAATTCCATGCGTACTATGCTGGGAGTTTTCCGGAAATTACTATGCCTCATTATTTCTAACCACTTTAGTAAATGAATGAATGAATGAATGAACGAGGGAGATCAACTGCATGTTAGGAGTAATGGGAGTCTAGCCATACTAAATATTTGAAGCAGACCTTTTGCAAAACCCTGCCAAAATACCCTTGATTTTCCACTCTATAGGCTGAGAGTACTGAAGCAGTATAACGCTTAGGAAATCGACAACATCACACTACAAGACTTTGAATGAACTGCTGCACCAAGTAAATACAAGCAGCAAGCATGTTTATGCATCTTCCAGACGCGGTGGAAAGGTTCCCTTTGAAGAAGCAAGGAATAGATCCACCAAGACTCCGTGTATTGTTGAAAAGCGTCTCTTAATTAAATATAGGTTGAGAAAGACGCTCCACCATCTCCAAGACTAGAAATTAAACGTAAAAAAGGAAATTCAACTTCCAAACAGTAACTTCCATAACATCGAAGTGGAAATGCTTTTCTGCAGTGGCGCACACCTATTAGCAGCTCGCAACCACTAGTAGGTAAAGTGTCTTTAAAAACAAACC